ACCATACCCAGCTAATTTTTGTATTTTTTTTTAGTAGAGACGGGGTTTCACCATGTTGGCCAGGATGGTCTCGATCTCTTGACCTCATGATCTGCCTGCCTCGGCCTCCCAAAGTGCTGGGATTACAGGCATGAGCCACCACATACGGCTGTGTCTGTGTACTTTTAATCTAAAGTAAGTGGGATTTATGTTGATTTTAATTATTGTTGGAACCAATATTTGAAAATATAGGGAGCAGAAAGTATATAGTAAAAGAATTGTTGATAGTAATGTCATAGAATCAGCAAATATACAGACTCTAGTGGCACAGGGAAAAAAATATAGACTATAATGGCATAGAACAAAAAACCCTCATGTTTTGGTTTAGCTCTGTCTTTGAACATTGTAACATAATCATGCATTTCGTTTGTTTGTTTCTTATTAATACAACATAAGGAATGCTATATTAACTCTAGAAAGATCAGAAACTTATTTGAAGAATATCATGTTTATATTATATGCACAGGGCTGTTGTTCAAATTCAGTACATTATATCCTGTCACTACTGTGCCCAGATGCATAAAACTTGATCCAAATCGAAGACTTATCAATTTTCCATTTGTAGTTCCTACAGAAGATCCACTTAGGAAGATGGCAGAGTACTTGGATTCCAGTCCAGTTGAGGTCTGGGAGAAGACCTCCTGCAACAAACAAGTTACATTTTTGTTGTACCGAGAAGGAGATCAATTGAATTTCTTTCCTGCAGTAGATAGGGGAGATGGCACTTCAACACCGTTATCTGACTCTTCAAAGAAAATAGGTTTTCATTTGCATGTCTTATGGAGAAAAGGAGAACATCGTATGAGGTACTCCATAAACTTTTGTTTACCTTGTGTTGTCAAAATAATCTATATATATTAACAAATGTCATGCATCTCATTCCTACCCCAGCCCCCAATATATAAGTCTGAAATTGTCCTTCATATGATTGATATAATAAAACTGAGGTTTTTTTTACAGAGTGGGATGTTTTCATAAAAACATTGTTTCTGTTACTCTGTGAAACTCTAAGATGCCTAATAGATTATAGAATCCTGTCATAATAGTGTGTTATTATACAACCTTAGCATAATAGAAAGGGTTTAACCTGAAGTTGATACCTTTTTTTCTAAATTTAAGTCTGCTGCTTAAAGGCGGATAAATCTCTTTATTTCTCTGATCTTGTTTTCCTATTCTATAAAAGGGAGAGAAATTGTAATATTCTAAAATCAGGAGGAGAAACCCTACATATATTTAGCTAAGCAATAGAAAAATTAGAGAATTGGACAAGGCAACCTCTCAGTTAGTTGCTGTGCATTCTGAGTTACTATGATTGTTTATCTTCCTTCACTTCAAGTTATTAAGCATTCACTCACTGAACTTTTATGGCCATTCATTGAGCAAGGCACTGATGATGTAAAGATGATTGTTCCTACCTTCATGGATCATGCAGTCTGCTATAAAGAGTATCGGTGATATAATGTTGGTGATGTTATAAAAAGATATCAGGATCTCTGGGAGAATAGGTGAGAGGGCCTTTATTATGCATGAAAGGCAGAGAGTTAGACACAACCTCTGAGAAGCTGTGACCCTAAAAGGGGAGTGGAGTTTGCCAAGCAGACAGAGAAAGGGAAGGTGTTACAGGTCCTGCAAAATAAAAAGGTAGTGGTGAAATCATTTAAAGAAAAAGCAGCTTGTAGTTTGGAGAACAGTTTCTGTGGGTCAAGAGTCCAGGCACAGCATCACTGTGCTCCAGGTCTCACAATCTGGAGTCAAGGTGTCAGCAAGTCTCTTATCAGGAGGCTTGACTGGGGAGGAGAATCTACTTACAAGGTCACTCTTATTGCTGGCATAATTCATTTCCTTTCAGTTATATGATGGAGGGCCCAGTTTTTTGCTGGCTGTTGACTAGAGGCTGCCCTCAGCTCCCTCTTGATGAATTCAAAACTGACTGATTCAGGGCCTAAATTACATCTGCAACGTTCTTTGCCATATTCAGTTGGCTAGAAGCAAGACGTCCATCATGCCTAGGCTCAAGGATAGGAAACCATATTTGATGTGAACACCAGGGGTCAAGAGTCAGAGAGATTCTCCTCGGATTCTGCCCACCACAGAGTGTTACGTGAAAGAAAGATTAGACTCAATTTTTTGTGGCCTCAGAGAGCAGAGTGTGACACATGGGTGTTACCTGTTGACTTTAATATGTCAGCATCTGGTTAGCACTACAAACTTGGCATAAACCATGGGCAAGAAATGGAGGAGGTAGCAGTGAGGGTTACAGCCTTAGGCCATTAATAGAATGTCTTCATACCACTTTTGCCATGTGCTGGCTCACTGTTTAGTTTTCTTCCCTAGTACACACTCTTTTGGCTCCCTTTTCCTAAAGGAAACCCAAGCTCCTCAGGTTAGTGTATGAGTCCTTTGACAACCTGTCACCATAGTTTTCCAGGTCTTTTCATTATGCTGTGTTTTTATACACCTTTTCCCTTTTTCTTAAAACGTCGTTTTCTCCTCTTACTCCGGCTTCTCCTCGGCCAACTTCTATTTGTTTTTATGACTCAGCTCAAATGTCATCATGGAATTTAATTAGAACTGTCTTACTGTTCATCGCAAGATAATTTATTTATTTTTTCTTCCTTTGTATTCATTTACAATAATTGGACAAGGAAAGGGATGGATGAATGAGAAAGAGGAGTAGAAAACGATCTGGTCATACCATGAAGGACATTTATCTTTCCTATTCTAGAAGAGGCTTTCCTAGTCTACAACAAAGGTAGCAAACCTTCTGTAAAGGTGTGCAGATAGTAACTATTTTAGGATTTTTAGGCCAAGATACAGCATTAAGGATATTAAATAGGTACTTATGTAACGAGAGAAAACAGATCTCCACAAAACTTTTACTAACAAAGTTCAAAATATAAGACTAACAATTGGGTACTTTTCTTCTGTTTGTACCACAGAATTCCAGAGAAGAATGGAATTCTTTTTCATGGGAATAATGTTTTACCTAATTGAGGTTGAAAGTTAGTGTTGCCCATCAAATTTGCAAGGTCAATTGCAAAAGTCCACTTGTTAATACTGATCTGTAATGAGATTTTGTGTATTTTATCTTAGAAAAATTTTTTTTCACACAGATAGGTACTGTCAGATACTGCTATCAGTCCATGAGCACATTATTTTATTGAGCATATTGATCATTTGTAAGACATTTATAAAATTCTATCAGATCTTTTCTTGCTGTTTGCCCTGGAAGCTCCTCAGTTCCACATTTAAATGAATTTTGAAATAGGGCATTTTTTGGAAATTGCCCTGAGGTATAAAATCACTGCTAGACCTATAGCTTGAGCTCAGAAATATATCTGCTGCAAATTTCTATGGGAATAGAGATATTACCTAATTTCAACTTTTGAAAGCATGGGAATGATTGCAGCTTGCTATTACATGCAATTCAAACATTAGTTGTTGTTAACATGACATTATTGCAGTATATGTTTCACATATAAACATTGTTTTATTTTGTAATTTTAGGTTATATTCATTACGAAACATGAAGTCCACATTAAAATTAATTTCCAAAGACAATTAAAAAATTTAAAAAGTGTTTGATAATAGTAGCTAAGGCCAGTTCTTCTCATTCAGAGTTCCTGAGCTAAAAAAAATCATAATGAAACTTTATTACCAGTAAGCCACCAAACTGATGATGGATAAGTCCATGAAACAATTGAAGTTTACCATTAACACTGCTGGTTTAATAACACAGGATAGATTCAGATATTTACCATGAAATACCTGCTGATGAATAACTGTATACTTTAAATACCTTACATGTTTAAAGGGCATGGTGGCTCACACCTGTAATCGCAGCACTTTTGGAAGATGGGTGAATCTCTTGAGTCCAGGAGTTTGAGAAGCCTGGGCAACACAGTGAAACTCCATCTCGAAAAAAATTAGCTGGGCCTGGTGGCACACACCTGTAGTCCCAGCTACTTCGGAGGCTGTGGTGGGAACATTGCTTGAGCCCAGGAGTTGAGGTTGCAGTGAGCCGAGATCGCACCACTGCACTCCAGCCTGGGT